TATTTATTTTTGAGACAGAGTCTTGCTCTGTTGCCAGGCTGGAGTGCAGTGGTGCAATCTCGGCTCACTGCAACCTCCACCTCCTGGGTTCAAGGGATTCTCCTGCATCAGCTTCCTGAGTAGCTGGGACTACAGGCGCAGGCCACCATCACACCAAGCTAATTTTTGCATTTTTAGTAGAGATGGGTTTCATCATGTTGGCCAGGATGGTCTTCATCTCTTGACCTTGTGATCCACCCACCTTAGCCTCCCAAAGTGCCGGGATTGCAGGTGTGAGCCACCGTGCCCAGCCAAACACTTCTATTAAAGATGCTTTGTAAAATTTATAGGTCCATGTGCATGCAGCATAGTGATTTATTGAAAAACATTTAGAATAATAGGAAGATTTGTTTACATGATGCTAGAATGTAGAAAAATCAGAGAGGAAGATGTGACCCTCGATTTAAAGATGTTTACGACAGACCAGGGAACCCACCCAGCCTGTTTGTAAATAACAACTCACTCAAAGAAAAATAGGGTTAGTTCCTTTGAAAAGTTACTAATAGGCCAGGCGTGGTGGCTCACGCCTGTAATCCCAGCACTTTGAGAGGCCAGGATGGGTGGATCATGAGGTCAGGAGTTTGAGACCAGCCTAACATGGTGAAACCCCGTCTTTACTCAAAAACAAACAAACAAACAAATAACAACAAAAAATTGGATGTGGTGGCACATGCCTGTGATCCCAGATACTCAGGAGGCTGAGGCAGGAGAATCGCGTGAACCTGGGAGGCAGAGGCTGCAGTGAGCCAAGATCATGCCACTGCACTCCAGCCTGGGTGACACAGTGAGACTCCATCTCAAAAATAAATAAATAAAAGGAAAAAAGTGACTAACAAAGTGCTTAGCGAATAGACAGCATGATTAATTTTGAGTGAGAGGGCAAATCTTTGCTGAGGAGACACAATTAAAGAGGAGGAGGTGCAAGAACTTGCCACAGGGAATGAAAGTGTATGTTGGTACAAAATGTTTAGAAGTTGTGTGTTCAGAAGCATGGTAAGTCATCCAGAGTCAGTGTGGATCATGTGCCTGGGAATTTGGGGGAATAACAGCATGGAAAAGATGTTTGGGGCCCAATAGAACAGAGTTTTGAAAATCATGTTGAGAGATTCAGATTTTATTGAGGCAAGCCATGAAAGAGTAGTGTACATGAAACCAGTGAGAACAGATCTGTGGTTAAGAAAGACAAAACTAACACTGAAGTGGAGGACACAGCACAGAAGAAAATAGTAAGTTATAAAATAACCAATTTATAAATAAAGATAAATATATGTATGCTATTAAATTTCACAATACAGGCATATATACAGTCACAATATAAAACCATGCAAAATTTCAATTTGCTGTAAGTACATTTATCTGAGCCATGTATTTAATTGTTACATATAGATTATCTATTATTGACTGCGGGAAAAGTGAAGTTAACATATTATAGATGGTATTTATAGATTACCTTCTATCCACCTTTATTTCAGAAAGGATTTCCAGTGCTTACAAGAGTATCTAAAATTATAAGGCACACAGTCTTGAGGCAATAAGAGAGTACAGTACAGTGATACATGCTCAGATTTCAAATTAAATATAAGGGGAGCAAGATACAATATTAAAATAACCATTGCACCTAAACAGAATTACCATATGATCCAGCAATTTCACTTCTGGGTATATACCCCAAGGAATTGAAAAGAAAACTCAAACAGATATTGGTACACCCATGTTCACAGCAGCATTATTTACTGTAGACAAAAAGTGGAAGTAACCCAAATATCCATCATTGGATGAATGGATAAACAAAATGTGACATATACATACAGTGGTATATTATCCAGCTTTAATCAAGAGGAAATTTCTGACACATGGTACACATGGATGAACCTTGGGGACTTTATGCTAAGTGAAAGGGGCTAACCACAAAAGCACAAAGTATAAATGGTGTATGATCCCAATTATATGAGGTACCTAGAATAATCAGATACACAGAGACAGGAAGTAGAATGGTGGTTGTAGGGGCTGAGGGGAGTGGATAATAGGGAGTTATTATTTAATGGGTACACAGTGTCAGTTTAGGAAGATAAAAAAGTTCTGGAGATGGAGGGTGGTGATGGCTACAAAATGTGAATGTACTTGATACCACTGAACTTTACACTTAAAAATAGTTAAAACCGTAAACTTTACATCATG